TCACTGCTATGAATTTCCCTCGTAAGACAGCTTTCATTGTGTCCCATAGATTCCGACATGTTGTATTGTTATTGTCATTTAATTGAAGGAACTGTCTGATTTCTTCTTTACTTTCCTCTGTGACCTATTGGTTATTCAGAAGTGTGTTGTTCATTTTCCATGTGTTTATGAAATTTTTGCGGTTTCTCTTGCTATTGATCTCCAGTTTCACTGCACTATGGTCTGATAATATATAGGGGATAACTTGAATCCCTTTGCACTTACTTAAATGTGTTCTATGATTGAGTATGTGGTCTATTTTGGAGAATGACCTATGTGCATCTGAAAAGAATGTTTATTCTGATTTTGTGGGGTGGAAGACTCTGTAAACATCTGTTAAGTTCATTTGTTCAAGATTTTGATTGAGTTCTAATATTTTGTTGCTTATTTGTCTAGTTGATGTATGTATTTGTGACAGTGGGATATTGAGGTCCCCCACTACTATTTTTTTCTTTTTTTTTGATACCAAGGATTGAACTCAGGTCCTTGTGCTTGTGTAGCAGGCAGTGAAACCACTGACCTAAATCTCTGGCACCCACTACTATTGTATTAGTGCTTATATGATTTTTCATGTCTGTTAGTATTAGTTTTATATACTTGGGTGCACTAGTGTTTGGTGCATATAAATTTATGATTGTCATCACTTCCTCTTGGATTGTTCCCTTTACAAGGATGTAGGGTCCTTCTTTGCTTCTCTCAATCATTGTTGGTTTCAAACACACTTGATCTGCAAAGAGGATAGCTACTCCTTTTTTTTTTGGTTCCTGTCACATGGACTATTGTTTTCCACCTTTTAACTTTCAGTCTATGTGTTTCTTTTTGAATTAAGTGTGTTTCTTATATGCAGAATATTGTTGGATCTTGCTTCTTGACCCATTGGTCAAGACTGTTGATTGTTGATTTGAGACCATTAACATTGATGGTTATAAATGATATGTATTGACATATCATTGTCATGGCCTTTTCTTTTGGTTGGATTCTCCCCCTTTGCATTTAGTTTTTTCTCTTGCCTGATGGATTCATTTGGCTGGGCTCCCTGGGGCTGTGATCCTCATTGTCTTTTTCTATGATATTGTCTAAAATTTTTTGGAGAGCTGGTTTGGTATTCATGAAGTTCCAAGGTACTCTTTGCCATTAAAATATCTTCTTTCTCCATCAATTTTGAAAGATAGTTTTGCAGGGTACATCAATCTGGGTTGGAGACTGTTTATCTTTAGGGCTTGAAATACATCACTCCAAGCTTTTCTTGCCTTGAGGGTTTGTGTTGAGAAGTCTGCTGTGAATCTGATGGGCTTTCCTTTGTATGTGATTTGTTTCTTTTCTCTAACTGCTTATAGAATTTTGTTCTTCTGTTGGCTTTCTGAAATCTTAACTATAATATGGCTATGTGTAGATTTGTTTGATCAG